CCCCTATATGGCCAGATTGGTGACTTTTTTGAGTATAAGGAGGCAGATCTCAGAAAAGCCTCCTTGAGCTATTCTCAGACTTTCTGGTCCCAGAACTCTTTCACACTTAAAAAAAAAAAAAAAAAAAGGAAAAGAAAAGAAAGAAAAAGAATGACCTAAAGTGACTTTCGATTGTGTTGTCTATAACTATCAATATTTATAAATTAATAAACTGGAACAATTCTAAAACACAAGCTATAAGTACATGTGCCATATGCCATTAGAACAATGATGTCATCACACATCATCTACACCTGCTGGAAAATTCCACGGTACACTTGTTAAAGAATGAGAATGAACAGCAAATAATGTCTTAGCATTATTATTGAAATGTTTTCTTTTCACAGATCCTCTGAAAGAGAGTCAGAACACTTTAAGAACACTGATGTAAGAGCTTAGAAATTTTACCAGACAAATATTCAGTTGGGTGATTTATTTCTCCATCCAAGGGAATTTTCAAAATAAAACTGCATCATGAGTATTATAGTTAGATCCTTGAATAGTATAGGTCAAATTTAAACTTTGAATATTTAAATGTAATCATTCTTGCAAAAACATTCACTAACATTAAAACTAAGTTCATGCTTTAAGTGTCAGTAAGACATAAGCGAGACATGATTTATTAAGAGTTATGGAACCTGTTATGAGCAAATACAGAAAGAACACTTCCCTCTCATTCACACCCCCAAACTAAAGAAGTTCAATTAATTTAGAGAGGGACAGTTAAGTTTTTTATTATATTTTGTGTTTGTGAATGAATGAGCAATTCACATTTCACAATGCTAAGACAAAAATTACACCTGTTTACTTCTGCAGTAGTAGAGTTAATTTTATTGGGCCATATTGACACTGAGACTGGGGCAACGACATTAAAGGGTTTAGGGAAAACCAGCATGTCTTACAATTCATAAATGATGTTTAGAAGCATGCTCACACTATAGTGTCAAATGTTAACAAACATCAATATCAAAACCATAATGAATAAAATATCTGGATTTTTCTCTTCATTGATCAATAACTCCCTAACCCCCTTCTTACCCCCCACATATACACAGAAGGATAACAAAAGAAAAATGTCAGGGAAAACCTCACTCACAAAAAAGTGAAAGTGTTACTTTTTACTTAATTATAAAATAGGATTTTCTATAAAGAAATGTATTTGCATAAAAGAAAAAGACATAAATGCAATAAAACTCTAAGTGCAAATATGTCCTTGAAGGCAAACAAATGCTAAATTACAATCCAGCCTCAGTCTTTAGGGTTCCTGCTGAATTGAGCAAATGCATATTTTGAATGTGATGCAAATCTAAGCCATTTGCAAAACTTAAGGATCAACTCCCTTTAATTCCAACTGCTCTAGTCATTCATACCTGCTAAATTAAGGCTGCACAGCATTTCTTAAAATCACTGTTTGATCCTAAATATGAAAATCACAATCAGTTTTCCTTGCTGATTTCTGGGCCAAAACACCCGACTTCTAGCAGTAACTGTCACTTCTACTTGGCAGTCCTTTTCCAAAAGACTTTCAACCAACACTTAAAGTGGTCCAAATCAAATCTAAAAAACAATTCAGTTTCGCATTATATTATTTGACTAACTTCAATTCTTTTGATTTTAGAGTCTTTTTAATCTACTATTTATGATTTCTTTGGCTATAGCTCACAAAGGAAACAAAGGTAAATCAAGTCCTGGAAAAATAAAATGTGTCTTTTCTAATTAGTAGAAACAATACCAGGCACAGTAGCCCACAGTCAGTAGTGCCATATTTGCTATTATTCCCTGTGGAAAGAAATATTTAAGCCTGCAAAATGTAAGGAGATCACGATTAAGAAAATCATTTCTAAAAACCTTTCCATTCATATTTTTGAGGAGGGCTCTCAGTCTGAAGGATAATCAAACCAAGCAACCTAAAATGAGACATCAAAAGCATTTACCCATCAGGCAAATCACACGCTGGCTTATCACTCTTCAGGCCAGGGATATCTGGTGCAGCCTAACATCTCTATCTAAAAAATGAATAGTTCACATAAACCTTTGTATTACTCATTCCTCCTATCCTCAGTTTGTCGAAATACTCCACTCCACCATATACACAAATGGAGCAGGTTACTGAATACTTTGTAATAAAAGGTGCTAAGGAATGGCATTCAAACACTCTGACATATTCACCTTCAGCTAAAGACTTCACAATATACTGACAGGCACTGTTCTAATGACATCAGGACCTGTGGAATGTATGACTGCTAGGAAACACATGCTGCTAAGGAAACAAAGAACAGATCTGATCAAATCTTCTAATGCAAGGTTTGGGAATCACTGTGATTAGATTCTTTAAAATGGGAGGAGAAGTATTCTTTAATCCTCAGAAATATTTGCAAGTGTAAAGACCTTAACACATATTGTCCAGAAACAAAACAAAGATATGAAGCTAGATTCTCATGAATTAAATCACAATTCTCTAAGTTTTCTATTAGCAATAGAAAACTAGCAATATCTCTAATAAAAATATAACTTAGTCAAAGTCAGGCAGCTAGCAATATCTCTTATAAAAATATAACTTAGTCAAAGTCAGGAAGCAATGGTTCAGTATTTGTTTTATGCAACTTAGGCTTTTTCAATAGTTCATGGTCTTAAATAAATAAATAGATAGATAGATAAAGACATCCAGAAACTAGTGTACATAAAACAAAATACCCTTTTTACATTCACTAGTGCTACTTTTTTAAACGGACTAGAACACAGGCATTTGTAACATATGAAAGCAGAGTTCATCTAGAACTGAGTTGAATATTTTTAATTATTGAAGTAAAAAAGCAGTGTAGCTTGCAAAAGAAACAGTTTATAAACTGTGTTTATCTTTGTACATTGTTTATGCTTGCTTTGGATACCAAAAAAAGAAAAAAAATCTGGAGTAAACAACAAAGCTGAGGAATATTTCAATACAAATATATTCTCTTACTTTATACACAAATTATCTGTTATCCTCTTTTGATGATACCACAGGAGAGCTGACAATTCTATTCTATTTGTAATCCCCATATAGATAAACTGGGCGCCAGAAGTCCAGATCAGAAGTAACCTTACAGATGGAAAAATATACTAGGGAAATTTAAACTGTTTGATCTCATAGGGAAATACAGGAGGTTCTCCCAATGAAAAATTACTAAAGAAGCGTCTCTTTGCAGATTCCACGATGACATTCTTTTGATGATAGCACATATGACACTAAAATTAGCAGACTGCCTATTTACTTCAGAGCACAACACAGAAGGCAATATTTCCTTCCTGCCAGAGTCGATGCGTCTCCTCATTTCCCCAGCAGCTGGCTGGAAGGATGTAAAACCAGAGGTGCAAGAAGGCTTACACTTCCTAACGAGTAAACCAGCCAGAAAAGTAAACACAACAGACAACAGAAGGTTAGACTCTAAAGGAGACTGTGGCAGGGGTGCTCACACCGTTGTTTACAATGTGCTCTAACTACCGCAGGCAGGGATCACACGCAGACACAGGGAGGAGACACCCTGGAGGTGGCTCGCGAGCCTCGAGTTCGCCCAACTGCTATGATATCTCTGGCCATAAATAAAGGCAGCGGCCGCGCTGGTTTCTATCCGAGCGAGGACAGTGGTAAGAGAATTCCAGGGACCAGGGGTTACGCTGGCTGGACTCGATGTTTGCAAGCTGCCAGAGCGAGCACTACCCTACGAGGTCCTCATCAGGGCCAATGTGGGGTGCGTCGAGCGCTGCACCAGCACTCTCCCGCGCCGCACGCATCTCGCTGAGCTGCGCCTCTCCGGGGGAGAGGGGACACCCGGAGGCTTCCCGGCCACCCTACGGGGGCCCCCCGTGGCCTCCTCAAACCAGATTTTCCAGTTAAGCGGATCCCAGGCGATTTCAAGGAGCAAGCTCAGCTCAAGTAGCATCAGCTCAGCCATCCCCGCACACA